CTGCTAAATAGACCCGGTTTAGGCTGGCCACCCCCCCCCCCCTCCCCCACCTGCGCAATTTAGGGTTTTAGGGTTAAGTGTTTCAGGGTTTACTGGCGTATGCAAGCAGTGACCGCGGACGATCCGGGCAGACTCGAGCTTGCGGTGGAGGCGTTGTTTTTTCGGGCCCATCCTGCAAAACGATCGTCATTCTTTTAATGGTGCGGATTCTGGACCCTGGGCATGTGAATGCATGCTAACCTTAAACCCTAAACCCTAAAACCCTAAAGCCCTAAAGCCCTAAAGCCCTAAACCCTAAAGCCCTAAACCCTAAACCCTAGACCCTCAACCCTAAACCTTAGTATGAGAATGCGAGAAATGTCCAGATGTTCTGAAGAAGGAGGACCCAGGAGTAGAGTAAGAGTCCCCGGGAAGTTTCTGTGTTCCGGCCGTGCCCTGGGGTCTGCAAAATTACGTAGACTGGGGGTTTTAGGCTCCTGTATATACTGCACGGGGACATGGTTACCAATAATTCCGAACCCTAAACCCTAAACCCTAAACCGACAGCTTCTGCATTTCCGGTGGGTGCAGCTGCCTTCGGTGTGCTGATTTGCGCCGCAGGGACGTGTCCCCAGTGTAGCCGGCGACAGCACCCGAACCCTGAATCCGAAGCCATGGCCCCTGAACCCAGGAAAGCCCAAGTTCGAAACGCCACGGTCTATCTCCAATATATCCAAGCCCCCAATCCGAAACTAACATCCTGAAGTATTTTTGTATGAGCGAGCGCCTGCGCAAAGCAGAAACCTCTTCTTCAGTCGAACAGTGATAAACCAGAGAATCCAGGAACCCTAAATCCTAAACCCTAAACCCTAAACCGCAGGAACCCTGGAATCCTATCATCCCTGAACCTGGCAGCCCCTCTTTTCGAAACATCACCCGGGCCCGCGAGGACAACGAGGTGCAGAAGGCGTCAAAGCTTCAGGCGGATGCTTCGACAAAGGACCCGTCGATAGCTCGGATGGTTTCGGGTTTAGGGTTCAGGGGTTTAGGGTTTAGGGGTTTAGGGTTTAGGGTTTAGGGGTTTAGGGGTTTAGGGTTTAGGGTTTCGGGTTTAGGGTTTAGGTTTGGGTGTTGAGCTGTCAGTTTTGGGTTCAGGGAGTTCTTCCCTGAGTTGCTGGATTGAAGCTTGAAGGGTTTTGGCGCGGGCCTCGTGGATTCAGGCCCGAGCCCGAACCCCTGAAGCCTAAGCCCTGAGGACGTGGAGATGCCGGCATTCTTCGCCACTTCACAGG